CGCGGCGCTGTGGCCCGGCACGTCGATCTCCGGGATGACGCGGATGGCCCGGTCGCCCGCGTAGGCGACGACGCGCTCGAGGTCCGCCCGCTGGTACGCCAGGTCCGGCCGGTACGCGCCCCGGACGAGCGCCGGTTCGAACGACGCGTTCCACGGGAACGACTGCGCGTCCACGAGGTGCCAGTGGAGCACGTTCAGCGCCGACGCCGCCATGCCGTCCAGGATCGCCTCGAGCGTCGGCACGGGCAGGAAGTGGCGCGACGAGTCGACCATGACGCCCCGGTACGCGAACTTCGCCGCGGCGCCCGTGACGTTCGTCCGCGTGGAGTTGACGACGACCTTGGCGCCGAGGCGCACGGTGCACTGGGCGAAGGCCTCGAGGCCCCGCAGCGCGCCGGCGAACGACGCCGCGCGCAGCGAGCCCGCGCCGGGCGCTATCACGAGCTCGAACGTCTCGTCGTCGCCGTAGGCGGGCGGCGCGCCGTCGTCGGGGGCGCGGACGACGATCTGTTCGAGCGGCAGCGTCTCGCCCGGGGTCTGGTGGGTCCAGAGCGTCTTTTGGTTCGCGACGTAGCCCGCGTAGCGGTCCAGGGCGCGTCGCAGCCGCGGCGAGGGGGCGGCGGCGACGAAGCGGAAGCCCTCGACAACCTCAAGGGCCATCGCGCCCGCGGCCGACGCGCCGTGCTTCGGCCAGAGGCCGCTGATGGAGGATCCGCTGGCAAGCGGGGTGTTGGCGGCGCCAGCTATAGGCATCGCGAGGACGAGGGCAGCCCACGCGAACATCATCCTTCGTGCTCCTTATCCTAGTTTAGAAGTTACCCTAGCACATCTCGCCGGGGTAAAGTTGCCGCGCTCGGCGATTGAGAGGACATCGTCGCCCACAGCTTGAGCAGCACACGAGGTGCGCAGCGCGATCGCCACCGCCCATACGACGGCCGACGGCTTCGGACACGCGATCGCGACGATCGGACGGCGCTGCCGCGCTTCGACGAACTCGGAGTCGCGCGGAAGTGCTATTCGGCGACGCTCACGCTGTGGCCGAAGCCGCTCGGTCGCCGCCCCCCGGACGCGGTCGGCGGTCGGGACGGGACGGGGCCGCGGCGCGCGGCGAGACGCGGCGGACGACGGCGGACGACGGCCGGCGGCGGGGGCGGGCTCGAGGCTCGAAGCTCGGCGCCGTCTCCCCGCGGCCGTCGTCCGCCGCCGCCCCGAGAGCGTCTCCGCCGCCGCCGTGGTCCCCCCCGCGCCGGCCCCGACCCCGCGACCCTCCCGCCACCCACCCCCCCGCCGTCGACGCAGCCGCGGGACCGCGCCCCGAATCGTAGGCCATGTCTTTCGTCCCCGAGTCCGTGCTCAAGAAGCGCCGCACCCAGGCGGCGATCGCGACCGAGCAGGAGGCCGCGGCCACCAAGGCCAAGGCCGCCGCCGCGGCGAAGAAGGAGGTGACCTTCAAGCGCGCGGAGAAGTACATGGCCGAGTACAAGGCCGCGGAGAACGACGCGATCCGCCTCCGCCGCGAGGCCAAGGCGGCCAACTCCATCTACGTGCCCCCCGAGGGCAAGCTCGCCTTCGTCATCCGCATCCGCGGCATCATCGGCATGTCGCCCAAGGTGAAGAAGATCCTCCAGCTCCTCCGCCTGCGCCAGCTCCACTCCGGCGTCTTCGTCAAGCTCACGGGCGCCACGACGAAGATGCTCCGCCTCGTCGAGCCCTACATCGCCTACGGCGAGCCCAACCTCAAGTCCGTGCGCGAGTGCATCTACAAGCGCGGCTACGGCAAGGTCAACAAGAAGCGCGTGCCCATCGACAACAACGCCGTCGTCGAGGACGTGCTCGGCAAGTACGACATCATCTGCGTCGAGGACCTCATCCACGAGATCTACACGGTGGGCCCCCACTTCCGCGAGGCCGCCAACTTCCTCTGGCCCGTCAAGCTGTCCTCGCCCACGGGCGGCTTCAAGGCCAAGCTCCTCCACTACAACGAGGGCGGCGACGCGGGCTACCGGGGCGAGAAGATCCACGAGCTCGTCAAGAAGATGCTCTAGGCGGCCGAAGCCGCCTTCGATCTCGCTCGCACTCCAAAAACAGCCCGGCCGCGTCGAGGGGCGACGACGCGGCGACGAAGCCGACCCCGGCGCCGGGCGGGCGTCCGGGGGGGGCGCGGCCGGCGGGCCGCGTAATGTAGTACCTATGCTCCTCCCCTCGGGCGCGAGGGTTGTGCCTCCGCGTTCGTCGGCGCGCCGGGATATATCGCGATGCGCGTCCGCGCTCGTGCGTCTGCCGGCGGTCTCCGCCTCTGGCGCGAGCTCGTCCGCGCCGTCGACGGCAAGTTCGGCGGCTCCGGACGCCGTCGGGCGGACCCGCCGGCGACGGCGCCCCCCGCCCACTCAACGGAACTCTTCCCACGACTCCGGCCTTAGGCGCCCCCCCGAGGGCCGGAGCTTCGCCCGCCTAGGCGAGCATGGGCACGGAGCCCGCGATCTGGTCCGACGCGACGAAGCCCATGATGCCGATCATGGCGAGGCGGCCGTTCTTGAGCTCGCGCTCCTTGTAGGTCTTGACGAGCGCCGGGTCGCTCTTGCCGAAGCCGAGCGGGTCGAACTCGAGGTTCGACGAGAAGCCCTTGAACCACGCGTCGCCTCCGACGAAGACGCCGTCCTTGTGCGTGAGCTCGTAGACCTCGACGGCGGCGATGGCGCCGAAGATCTGCAGCAGCCCGTTCTTCGGGATCATGGCCCAGGCCGCCGCGCCCTTGACCGCGCCGAGGTCCGCGAACGTGATCTTGTCCGTCGTCGACAGGTAGCCCGGCAGCTGGATGCCGAGGTTGTGGTGCCAGTAGCCGAGGCACGCCATCATCGCGATGCGCCCGTGCTTCACCTCCGCCGCGCGGAAGAAGTCCACCGTCGCCTCCGTGCCGAGGTCGGCGAGGCCCAGGGGATCCCAGTAGGACGTTTCCGGGCCGACGCCGTAGAGCGTCTTCGCGTAGTCCGTCGAGTGCAGCTTCGTCGACACCTTCGGCAGGGCCGGGGCGACGAGCGCGGCCGCGCCGGAGATGAGCAGCGCGTATCGGAGCATCTTACGGGCGCAAAACGCGGACAGCTTGACTCTCGCGGAGCTGCGGATCGACCTCGACGCCGGCCGGGGGGCGAGATACATTGAGGCCGGCTAAGCCGCTCGAAGCTGGCTTCTCCACGAGGATCTGAGGCTGCCCATCGCCTCTCGCAGCCGGCGACCGCATACGAAGAGGACGCGCCCATCGCCTCCGCACCTCGCAGCCGAAGCGATTGCATCGTCCACGAAGAGGACGCCCGTCTCGAGTGCCCATCTGTACAAGCATCGCCCACGCCCGTCTCGAGTGCACGCACGCACATCATACGATGCACGTCCCGCGCCTCCTCTGCCTCGTCGCCGTCGCCCGCGGCGAGTTCGACACGCCCATGCTCGGGTTCAACACGTGCAACGTCGGCTGCGGCAACGCGACGTTCCCCAACGCCGCCTGGCTGCTGCGCGCCGCGGACGTCCTCGTCGCCCGCGGCTTCGCGGCGGCGGGCTACACGAGCGTGAACCTCGACGAGGGCTGGGCCGACCTCGCGCGCGACGGCGACGGCAACCAGGTCGCGAACGAGGACCGCTTCCCCGGCGGCGTGCGGCCCGTCGCCGACGCGCTCCACGCCAGGGACCTCGAGCTCGGCATCTACACGTCGCTCTCGCCGGAGACCTGCGGCGGCAAGTCCGCGGGCAGCTGCGGCCGCGAGGCCCGCGACGGCGCGGCCTACGTGGCCTGGGGCGTGGACTACGTCGCAGGCGGCGTCCCGCGGCCGCGACGAGTCCCGAGAGATGGTCATCACCGACGCGCGTCCTAGGTCAAGGACGACGGCTGCGGCTCCTGCCACGACTACGACGCGGCCGACTGGGCTTTGGAGAGCTACCGGCGCATGCAGGCCGCGCTCCGCGGCGCCGCGGCGGCCGCGGGCCGCGAAACGCCCGTCTTCTTCTCCACGGAGAGCGCGCCGAACGTCACGCGCATGTCGGAGCGGCCGGACCTCTACGGCAACACGTGGCGGAGCGGCCACGACGCGATCCCGACCTGGGGCTCCGTGCTCAGCCAGTACGACATCGCGTCCGGCCTCGCGCGCCTCGCGCACAACGACAGCGGCCGCGGCGGCTTCTTCCTCGACTGCGACATGCTCCAGGTCGGCCAGGGCGAGTTCGGCAATAATCGCGTCGAGGAGATCCGGAGCCACGTGACGATGCACGCGATGCTCAAGTCGACGCTCCTCGTGTCGACGGAGGTCGACCGGCTGAGCGACGGCGTCGTCGCGCTGCTGACGAACCGCGAGCTGCTCGCCGTGCACCAGGACCCGCTCGGCGCCGCCGCGCGGCGCGCCGCGTCGGAGCCGCCCGCGCGGCCCCGCGCGGTCTTCGGCAACGCTTCCGACTACGCGCTCTTCGCCGTCATGCCCTGCGAGCCCGGCAACCCGCGCCAGCGGTGGGAGCTCCGCAGCGACGGGACGCTCGCGACGACGGACGAGGCGGGCGCGGCCTGGTGCGTCGGCGCCGGCCAGTGGGCGCGGCCCGCGGAGGTCCTGCCCTGCGGCAAGGCGCCCGACGCCGGCGCCTGCGGCTGCGACGTCTACGAGGGCTGCTGCCACGACGTCGACACATTTAAAACGGCGCCGACGCCCGCGTGCCTCGCCGGCTACGCGACGCCGGAGACGTGCGCGGCGCGGCCGGGCGGCGTCGTCGGCGAGGGCAACCGCTCCCTCGGCTGCGACCTCACGCTGTCCTGCGGCGACGGCGGCGTCATCGAAGCCGTCGACTTCGCGGACTGGGGCACGCCGGCCGTCGCGAGCCTGGAAGCCTGCGCCTTCTCGTCGAACGCGACGTGCTCGTCCGCGGAGGCGACGCTCGCGTTCGTCCGCGCGCTCTGCGTGGGCCGGCGGGAGTGCCGGATCTCGACGGACGCGATCAAGCGCCGCGTCCCGGACCCGTGCCGCGGCGTCCACAAGCGGCTCGCCGTCGCCGCCGTCGGCTGCGCACCATCCGGCGCGCGCGCGCCGGGCAGCTTCGACGGCGACCGCTTCTCCTTCGACCCCCAGCTCGCCTGGGACAACGTGCCCGGCGCGGTTCCGGCGTCTCGAGAGGCGCGTCGGCCGCCGTCGCGAGTCTCGAGAGACCGGGGGAAACGCGAGGCGCCGTAGGCTCGTCCGGGCCCTACCCGCGCGGCCGCTACGTCGGCGCGAACCCCATGGGCAACGACGTCGACGGCGCGGACGTCGTCTCGGCGACGGACGTCTGGTACTGGGGCGCCGGCGGGACCCTCAAGCCGTCGTCGCGCGCGTGGGCCGCGCGCGACGGCGGCGCCATCCTGGACGACGACCACGTCGGCACCGTCCGCGCGACGCCCGCGGCCGACTACTGCGCCGAGGCCGTCCTGTCCTCGGGGAACCTCGAGACGTGGGTCGCGCCCCTCGCCGGCGGCCGCTACGCCGTCGCGCTCCTCAACCGGTCGCCCGCGGCGGAGGAGCTCACGGCGACGTGGCGCGCGCTCGGCCTCCGGGGCACGTACGCCGTCCGCGACGTCTGGGCGGGCCGCGACGCGGGCGACTTCGCGGGATCCTACGCCGCGACCGTCCCGGGCAAGGGCGTCGCGCTCCTCGTGCTCGCGCCACGCCACTAGCACCGTACTCCGCGGACCAAACTTTGTGACCTTTGTTGGACTAGCTATTGAAGGGACGCGCGCCCGAGGACGAGCCATGTTGAAGTTCCGTGCACTGCAAGTTGAAGCCACGAGCTTGATCATGACGATGACGATCATGCAAGTCCGTGCTGCGGCGATCCTGTGCCTCGCGTCCGTCTCGGCGCTGCGTCCCGTGACCGTGCTCGGCGGCAACGGCTACGTCGGCAGCCGCGTGGCGGAGCTGCTCGTGAAGCAGGGCGGCCTCGCCGTGCGCTCCGTCAGCAAGAGCGGCACGCCCCCCAACAGCGACCCGTGGACGTCGGAGGTCGAGTGGGTCGCCAACGACCTGACGCGCGGCTCGCGCGAGGCCCTCGAGGCGGCCATCGGCGCGCCGGAGGTCGTCGTCTCCTGCGTCGGGAGCATCGGCTTCGACGGCCGCTACCTCGAGCTGGGAAACGGCGTCGCGAACGAGCGCGCGGCCGAGGCCGTCGCGAAGCTGCCGCGGCCCGTGGACCGCTACGTCTACGTGTCCGTCGCGCAGGAGGTCGCCGACGCCAAGGGCTGGCTGCCCGGCTACTTCAAATTCTACTTCGACGGCAAGCGCGACGCCGAGGCCGCGATCAAGGCGGCCGCGCCCGAGAGCTACGCCTTCGTCAAGCCGTCGTTCATCTACGGCGGCGAGTCCTTCGGCCTCTGGCCGCCGCGCGTCAGCGGCGGCTACGGCTCGGCCATCGAGGAGATCCTCTCGAACGGTATTATCACGAAAATCGGCGACGTCTTGCCGGGCCTCCTCAAGGTCGCGCTCCGCCCGCCGGTCTCCGTCGACGCCGTCGCCCAGGCCTGCGTCAACCTCGCCCTCGGCGCCGAGGGGTCCGTCGTCGACGGCGCCGCGGCGATCAACGCGGCCGCGGGCGCGCCCAAGGCCACGGGCTTCTCCGACTTCGTGTCCTCGGCCAAGGCCACCGCGTCCGACCTCTCGAGCAAGGCCCAGGCGTCGTCCTAGGCCCCTAAGGCGGCGCGCTGGTATCCCGTCGGCGGGCGAAGTCCTAGGGCGAGGTAGCGCGGGAGCCGCGACGCGCCCTCGCTCCGCTGTGGGCGCTTTCTCGCTCTTGAAAGGAAGCCTAGTAAGAATCACAGCAGGCCGAGGCCCTCGAAGCGCGCGGCGTCCTCCGCGGAGACGTCGCCGCGGCCCGCCTTCGCGTCGGCGAGGAGCGCCGCCCAGGCGCCCGCGTCAGCGCCGCAGGCCGCGAAGCGTTCCCGCGCGGCCGCGACGACCGCGCGGTCCGCCGCGTCGCGCTCGCGCCAGGCCGCCTCGTCGGCCGGCGCGCCGCCGCCCACCGCGACCCTCGCCGCGAGCGACAGCGACACGGGCAGCGCGGCGCTGAGCGCGTGGAGCGGCGGCGCGAAGACGTCGACGTCGACGGCGCGGAGCGCGCCGTCGCCGGCGCCGCGGTCCAGGACGAGCCGGAGCTCGAGGTCCGCGGACCGGAGCACGGGCACGGCGTTGTCCGCCGCGTCGACGTCGACGACGGCAAGGCCCGCGATGGACACGCGCTTGTGGACGCGGACGGCGTCGCCGCCGTGTTCGATCGACTCGCGGAGCGACCGCGCGGGCCGCGAAAAATCGCGCGCGGCGTTCGTCGCGGACACGCGCTGCGCCGACAGCGACCGCCAGCCGCCCGCGCCGACGTCGGACAGCTGCCGGTTCGACACCTCGCTCAGGGAGACGCCGAGCGCGGGCCGCCGCGGCCCCTCGTCGGCCGGCGCCCGCTTGAGCAGCTTCGCGAGCGGCTCGAAGACCGCGGCGAGGAAGTGCCTCGGCTTCGCGCGCGCGCCGCCGCCGACGAAGTCGGGCCGGTCGAGCTTCGCGCGGAGCAGCGCCTCCGTCGGATTCAGCTGGCGCAGCGAGACGCGCTCGACGTGGACCTCGAGCCCGTCGATGAGGCGATCGCTGGACCCGTAGGGCGCGCGGTCGCCGCCGCCGCCGCCGAAGAGCGGCGCGAGCAGCTTCTCGGCGTCCGCGTCGGCGAGGAAGTTCGGGAAGGGCTCGAGGTCGTAGGCGAGGCTCGCCACCTCGACGACGACGGGCGCGTCCGCGGCGACCAGCCCCCGGAGCGACGGCAGGACCACGCGGATCTCGCCGACCCTCGCCTGTGTGCAAATCAACCAGTGAGCTGGGACGTCGGGGCCAAACTTCAGAATTCTCTAGCTCGGTCAAATCGAAGTCGATTCGGCTGATTTTTGGACGAATCGATTGCTCTCAGTGAGTTCTCGAAGCACGGCGGAAGTGCTCGTGTCAAAACATTCGAATACGCGCACATTGAAGTCGGGTTGAAGATTTGATTTGCACACAGACCCTCGCGTTCCGGACGCACGACGCGCCGCCCACGAGCGCGCAGACGACGTCGTCGTCGAGCTCGAGGGGCTCGATTACGAGGCCGTCGGCGCCGCGGAAGGCCCAGAGGCCCGGTTCCCAGTTTTTCGCGAGGCATCGGAGCGCCGCGTCGACCGACGGCGCGATCGTCGCCCGGAGCTTCCCCGCGAGGAAGGTCGAGAGGAACGCGCTCCGCCGCGGCGGCGCGGCCGTCGCGGCGGCCGCCGGGACCCACGCGTCGCCCCGCGCGCAGACCGCGGCGAACTTGGCCGCGGACGGCCGGCCGCCGTCGAACGCGACGGCCCGGAGCGCCTCGTACTCCGACGCGTCGAGCCTGAGGCCCGCGTCCGACCTGTGTGCAAATCAAATATTCAACCCGACTTCAATGTGAGCGTATGCGACAGTCTGGACGCAACTTGTTCTGATCTCCGTGGAGAACTCGATGAGAGCAATCGATTCGTCCAAAAATCAGCCGAATCGACTTCGAATTGACCGAGCTAGAGAGGTTTGAAGTGTGGTCAGGACCCCCTGAGACAGTGGTTGATTTCGGCACAGCGTCCGACGTCGCTTTGAGGAAGTCGTCCTCGCGCAGGGGCTGCTCCGCGCGGCGGTCGTCGCGCTCCGCGAAGAACCGGACCGCGGCCTCGGTCCGCAGCCAGTCGCCGAGCACGGCCCAGAGCAGCGCCGCGGACGACCGCGACCGCGCGCGGCGCAGCCACGCGTCCGCCGTCTCGCCCGCCGCCGGCGCTTCGCCGCCGAGGGACCGGGCGAGCCACGACGCCGCGAATGCCTCGCGCTCCGAGTGCTCGGGCCCGTAGACGGCGACGCGGAGCGCCGCGCCGCTGGCGAGCGTCTTCACGAAGGCCCGCGTCGCGCGAACGTCGAGCTCGACGCGCGCGAGGACGCCGTCGACCGTGCGCCGGTGCAGGACGACGTCGACGTCCACGGGGAAGGCCATGGCCGCGTCGCCGAGCGCCGCGAAGGGCGCCCGGGTCTCCATGAGCGCGACGGCGCCCGCGGTCAGCGTCTTGCGGGTCACGAGGCACTTCGCGACGGCGCCGCCGACGTCGTCGCGGTCGACGACGGCGCCGCAGTCCGCGAGGTCGCGCGCGGGCTCGCCGTCGGCCCGCGCGTTCGCCAGCCTGAGGTCGCGGATCACGTAGACGGACGCGTCGCCGGCCGCCGCGGCCGCCGCCGTCCGCGCGCCGCCGTCGAGGTTCCGCTTCAGCGACCGGAACCAGTCCGCGACGAGCGCCTCCGACGGCGCCGGCGCCGTGATCGTCACCTCGTCCGCCGTCAGCAACACGCCGTCGAGCCGCCGCAGCTCGTCCTCGCGCTTTTTGAGGAGCACGTTCTTGGCGACGCGCGCGGACGCCGACGCGACGCGGCCGACGCGCGTGATCGCGCGGCCCACGCGCAGGAACCGCACGAGCCGCGCGCCGCGCGCGGACTGCGACGCGCCCGTCGCCCGCTCCTCGAAATTGATCGACCAGATGACGACGTCGAGGACCGTCGCCGAAAAGTCGATCCGGTTCAGCCACCCCTCGAAGAACTGGCGCGCGCCCCGCGGCTTCAGCGCGCCGTAGAGCGCCAACCGCGCCGCGATCTCGCCGACGAAGAAGGCCGAGATCGTCAGGCGCGCGAGCTCGTCGATGTGCGCGCGCCGCCAGATGAGCTCCGACGTCAAAGAGACGACGATGAACCCCATGAGCAGGAAGACGAACGCGCGGCCCTCGAGGCGGTCGAGCACGTAGGCGCTCCGGGGCCGCGCGGCCCGGAGCTCGGCCTCGACGACGACGTCGCGCCGATCCCGCCGGTCGCGGTCGAAGCGCCGCCGCGCGCCGCGCGACGCGTCGGCCTCGTCGACGAGGTTCAGCTCCGCGGCGTGCGGGTCCATGAGCGCCGAGAGCACCTCGTAGACCTCGTCGTAGGGCAACAGGTCGGGGAAGGGCAGCCACTCGCAGGACGCCGTCGTCAGCGCGAGGCGCGCGGGCGTGTCGCCCTTGCCCGTCGCGATCTCGTCCAGGGGCACCGAGACCTCGAGCGGGCCGAGCTCGACGCGCCGCAGCGGGCTCGACCCGCCCAGGAGCGCGCAGAGCGTGCGCTGCTTGACCTGCGTGGAACTCAACCGGTGAGCTGGGACGTCCCGACCAAACTTTGACATTCTCTCGCTCGGCCACATCGACGTCGATTCGGCTGGACGAATCGATCGCTCTCGTCGAGTTCTCGAAGCAGAGCTAAAGATCTTGCGTCAAAACTGTCGCATACGCGCACATTGAAGTCGGGTCGAAGATTTGAGTTCCACGCGGCGCTCGACGCGGCTCGGGCCGGCGATCGTGACGCCCGCGTCCGAGACGCTGACCGTCTTCTTATCCAGGTCCTCGAAGATGAGGTCGAGGTATTTCCAGATGAGCTCCTTCCCGCCGAGCGTCGCCGTCGCGCCGACCGCGCCCTCGACGACGGCGTCGCCGACGAGGTCGACGCCCTTGTTGAGCGCGCCGGCCGTTCTCTCGACCGTCGTCGACGCGAGCCTCCGCGTCGCGCGCACGACCTTCGACGGCGTCGCGTTGCCCTGGACGAGCGTCGCCAGGGGATTCGGGCGGGCGCGCCGGCTCGGCGTGCCGGACTCGACGTCGACGTCGTCGCCGCCGTTCTCTCGCATGGTGGTGTTCGCCGGGGGATGTTCGCGCCGGGTCGGCGCGCCGGACTCGAGGTCGACGCCGCCGCTCTCGCGCGTGGTGGTCGAGGAGAGCTCGCGTCTGGCCTCAGGGCACCGTCGCGCCCGTCGTGCAACAGGTGAGATTTTTGCCTCGGTTTGGCGAGTCACCCGCTCCCCCGGCTCCTGTTTGGCGTGTGCGCGCCCGGTCTCTCGCGCCGCATCCCCTGCCCCCCGCTGGTTCAATAGCGTATATCAGAGCTGTAACAGATCGCGACCATGCCAGAAGACGACGCGCCCTGGCGCAAAAAACAGATCGAGTACGAGGAAAAGAAGGCTCGGGCGAAAGCGCTCCGGCTCCGGCTCACCTGCACGATTTGCGGCGCCAGACCGAAGACCTTGCTGAATTGCCCGTGTGGGACTACGCAGTATTGCTCGACTGAATGCCAACGCATCGACTGGCGCGACCGCGGCCACCGCGCGGCGTGCAAAAAGATCCGCAACGAGCGCGCGGCGGAGGCGGCGCGGGCGGAGGCGCCTCCGCCCCCGCCGACGCCCCCGCCGGAGGTCTTCTACGGCCCCGCGCCGCGGTCGCACGCCGACGAGGTCCGCGCGCGCATCGCCGCGGAGCACGAGGCGGCGCGCGTGCGGCGCGAGGCGAACCCGGAGCCCGAGCCGGCGTCGGCGCGGTTTGGGTCGCGGTGCCCGATCTGCCTCGAGGAGTGGGACGTGAATACTCAGGGGGGGGCGGGGAAGGGCGTGCTTCGCGTCTGTTGCTGCCGAAAGATCTGCCGATCGTGCCAGGACAAGGTCGGCACCGGCGCGTGTCCCCTCTGTCGATTACCGGCCCCAAAAACCAATGCGGAGCAGCTCGCGCGTCTTCGCCGCCACGTGGAGAACGAGGTGCCGGAAGCGATTGCGTCTTTGGGAAGTGCGTACCACCTCGGACGGTTGGGCCTCGTGAAATCCGATAAGAAAGCCGCGAAAATTTGGAAGCGCGCCGTGGAGCTTGGTGACGTTGACGCGATGGGTTACCTTGGGGAATTGTACGAGGGCGGGTCGGGCGTCAAGCTGGACAAGAAGAAGGCGGAGGAGCTGCATCGCGCGGCCGCAGATCGGGGCGACGCGGCCGCGCAAATGAAAACTGCGTTTTTGCTTGAAACTCAGGAAAAATCTGAAGAAGCGTTCCGGTACTACGCGCTCGCGGCGGATCAAGGCCATATCGCTGGGGAGTTTTGCCTTGGCTGCTGTTACATGGACGGAGAAGGCACGGAAGTCGACTTCGGCAAAGCCAGATACTGGTTCGAGCGCGCCGCTGCCAAGGGCCACGAGAGAGCTACAAGGTGCCTCGCGCGCCTCGACGCGCGAGTGTAGCCTAAGTCTCTACGGCCCCGCGCCGCGGTCGCACGCCGACGAGGTCCGCGCGCGCATCGCGGCGGAACACGAAGCCGCCCGCGTGCGGCGCGAGGCGAAGGCTATCTCGCGCGCGCAGCCGCCAAGGGCCACGAGCACGCTCAAGCCACCCTCGACCATATCGAGGAAGCCGGCCGCGCTGTAGAAGAAGAAAAGTAACTAAGCGACCACCCCCCACACACACCCAAGAAACGCAAGGTCCAGAAGCGGAGTTTACAACCTCGCGCGCGCGAGCGGGGGCTTCGCGGGGAGCGCCCGCGCGCGCGGCCAAAAAGCGCCGCCTACTTGGAGTTCTCCTCGCGCCACTTCTCGAGGGCCGACTTCCAGCCCTTGGGGTAGACGGAGGCCTGCATGTGCCAGCCCTCCTTGAACCAGCGGCCGAAGATGGGCCCCATCTTCGACTCGTCGGGGCGGAAGTCGCCCGCGCAGCGGAGGTTGATGTCGTCGGGGTCGAAGCCGAGCTGGGCCTGGATGATGTGCTTGAGGTCGAGGACGTCGTAGTCGTACTCGATGGGGATCTGGAAGGGCGCGAACGACGTGTAGTTGCCGTCGCTGCCCTCCGGGCCGACGCCCATGACCATGATGTAGCGGTTGTCGTCGTCGAGGTGGTACATGGGCACCTGCTTCTCGAGCACGGCGCTGGGATCGTCGACGACCGGCATGGCTGCCTGGGGGACGCGGCGTTTCTTGTTTGTCGGGGCGTTTCGACGCGCGTTTTCGATGCGGCGGAGTGCTCTCCCGCGGCGCGCGGCGCGGGCGGCGCGGTCCGGCGCGGCGCGCGGGAGGCGTCGGCGGGCCCGGGCGCGCGGCGGAAGCGACGCGACGCGCGCGCCCCCGGCGTCGGACGCTGCCGCTCGCTTTGCCTGAGACGACTCGGAAACGCTGTCGCAGCAAAAGACGTCGATGAGTCGACAGACGCGGTGGGTTAATGTCGACATCATATCCACACGCACCATCCAGCGGCTCTGGCGGGACATGGGCAGCATGTGCTCCTAGTTCTGGGCTCGCCCCTCCCCCCCCTCCGCCGACCATGGCGCTCCGGGCGCTGCTCCTCTGCGCCCTGCTCCCCCGCACGACGCCGAGCACCCCGACGTTACAACCGACGACCGACGAGGCCTGCCCCGCGCCGACGTCCCTGGACTGCGCCGGCGGCCTGCGGAGCAGCGTCATGATCGCCGCGTCGGAGTCCGGCGCCCTGCGCGAGTCCTGCCCCGGCACGGCGCGCTTCCTGAGGCCGGACCCGCTGACCGGCGCCGTCCTCGAGATCTGCGGATCGCATCCCAACGGCACGCGCACGGCCCCCCGGAGCCTGCCCGTGAGCGACTGCGGCGAGGCGCACATCGGCGGCATCGCCGTCGACCACCCGCGGCGCGAGGCCTACTACACGACGGGCGGCGCGCTGCGCAAGCTCGGCCTCGACGCGCCGGGCGACTCCGAGGTCGCCGCGGCGCTCGGCGTCGTCGTCGTCCGGGGCCAGAATTTTGGGAAAGACGCCGACGACCTGCGCAACGTCGCGCTCCGGGGTTTGGACTGCCCCCGCGCCGCCCTGACCTGGGTCTCCGAGTTCGAGGTCCGCTGCGTCGTCTCCGACCCGTCCTTGGCCGGGCCGCGCGCGTCCGAGCTCCGGCCGTCCTGCGTCACCGTGACGACGAAATCCGGCGGCGCCGGGTCTTCGGAGTCGCGCACGACCGCCGAGTACCGCAGGGCCGAGTACGGCGCGGCCGCGGGGCCCGCGGTCTTCGACGTCGAAGTGTTAAACGGCGGCGGCTTCGCGCTCCGCGCGCGCGCGGTCGCCGTCGACGACGGCGGCCCGCGCGTCTTCTTCTCGTCTTTAGGGAGCGACGACGGCGACGTCTACGGCGGCGTGCTCGTCTACGAGGACGGCGCGCTCGCGGTCGCGCTCGAAGGCGCGCCGCGCGTCCACGGCCTCGCCTTCGAGGCCGACGCCGACGCCTGCGGCGGCGGCTGGCTCTACTACGCCGACGCGTCGCGGTCGTTGATCGCGCGGCGGCCCGCGTGCCCCGCGAGCTACGGCGCGCCCGGCGACGCGCACGAGCGCGTGCTCGCGTCGGGGCTATCGGAGCCCCGGGGCCTGGCGTTGGACCCCCACGTCGAGAAGGCCGGCGACGCCCGCACGCTCTACGCGACGGCGAACACGAGGGTCGTGCGCCTCGACGCGTCGGAAACGGATTCGTTTGACGTCGTCCACTCCGGCATGTCGCACAGCGCGCCCGACGGCGTCCTCGTCCTGCCCCTCGCGCCGGGGAAGACGTCGAGCCGCGGCGACCGGTCCCTGCGGCTCCTCTGGCTCGACGCGAACAAGCCCGGCGTGCGGGCCGCGACGGCGGCGGGCACGCGGCCGGGCTATTTGCCGACGCCGCCGGACCCGCTCCGCTTCCCGCGGGCCCTCGCGCTCGACCCGGCCGACGGCGAGCTGCTCATCGGCGAGTGGCTCGGCCGCATCTGGAAGGCGCCGCCGTCCATGGCCGCCGCGCTGCTCCTCCGCGACGACGACTCGACCGCGGCCGCCGCGTCCGTCCGCGCGACGCTCGACGACGAGGAGCGGTCCCGGGCCCGGCTCCAGACCGCGCTCTACACCCTCCTCAAGCTCTAGGGAGTACCGTTTTATTGCCGAGCGACGACGCGCGCCCACCAGGTCCCCGGCGTCGCGAGCGACGGCCGCGGCGCGGCGGCCGCGACGACGGGCGACGCCCAGGCGCCGGGCGCCGCCCAGGGCGCGGGCCAGGCGCCCGGGCCCGGGGGGGCGGCGGCCCAGCCGCCGGGCGCCGCGGCGAGCGTCGCGAAGCCCTGGCGCTGCTTGTGCCGCGGCGACTTCTTGCAGCGCACGTAGAGCCGCCCCTTGCGGCGGACCATGTAGCAGTGCTCGCACATGAGCTTCACGGCGGACTTGATCTTCATCGCGGCGCGGGGGAGGGGCGGGCGGGGGCGGCGCGGCGAATCGAGGACGGGTTGGCCCCAGACACCTCGCGGTGAATCGAGGACGCCGTCGAGGCTGAGCTCAGGCAGACGAGGCAACATAGCGGACGGTTACTGCATCGTGCCCTCGACGGTGAAGTGTGCGGCCGCGGCTAGCGCGCTGGGCTGGTTCGACTCCGGGCGTCGTTGCCAGCCCAGCGTCTCCCACCATGCAGCGCAACGGGTCGGCGAGCGACGTGCTCGACAAGGCGCGCCGGGCGGCGACCTCGTCCCAGGGGCGGTCGCTGAAGCGCAGCGAGACGGCGCCCCAGCCGCTGCAGCCCCTCTACGGCGTCGCGGACACGCTCCTCCACACCTTCCCGACGCTGAAACGGAGCGCCGTCCTCGACGAGACGCCCAAGGGCACGCCGCGCGGCGCGAAGAAGCTCAAGGACCGCAAGAAGTTCCGGCCCACCGCGACGGCGGCGGCCGCGCTCGCGGCGCCGTCCGGCGAAGACGTCGTCCGCTACTTCGCGACGCACGGCAGCGAGGGCATGATCAAGTTCGTGCCCCTCGTCGGCGAGGCGGGTCTGCGGGAAGAAAAGCGGCGGCGCGAGCTCTGGAACGAGAGCCGCCACCGGTCCAAGGACGGCCTCGGGACGTCGGGCTCCGAACTCGCGAGCCGCCCGTCCACGACGTCCCGCCCCGCGACCCGGGAGGCCCCGCCGAGCCCCGCCGTCGTCAAGCGGTCCCTCGCGCCGTTGCCGGAGTCCGTGGCGAAGCTGCCCGTGCGGGACCGCGTCGTCCACGACTTCGCGCCCTACAGCTTGCGCCGCGTGTCCTACGAGCAGGCGGCCGTCGCGACGCGGCGCAAGGCGAACACGGTCTTCTCCATGACGCCCCAGGCCTTGGTCCAGCTCGTGCCGGGCCCGGCGGAGGTCACGTCCCTCGTGGACTGGCGCTGGGAGGCCACGTGCTTCCGGACGCTGCGGTCGTCGTTCAAGTTCTTTCGCTACGCGCGCGAGCTTCGGTGCTTCTTTCGCTGGCGCAACTACAGCCGCGTGGCCTGCTTCGAGCGCCTCAAGGCGTCCTTCCGGAGCCGCTTCCTCCTCGCGCGCGAGTCCTTCTGCGGGCCGACGATGGATCTGTTGAGCGCGGCGCACCACATGCGGACGGCCGAGCTCCTGGACCTGAGCCCCGGCGGGCCCAAGGAGGACGACGACGACGACGCGAGCGAGGGCGCGGCGCTCTCCGACGACGACGACGACGAGCGGACGCGCGGCGACTACGCCGCGGAGCGCAACTTCGAGCAGGACCCGCTCAACGAGAACGACGCGGACTCGCTCTTCGAGGCGGGCGTGCGCCGCGACTACATGTACCTCTGCCCGGCCGCGCGGACGCGCAAGAAGGCCCTGCGGGCCATGGGCGCCGCGCGGGACGCGGCCAAGTCCAAGGCGCTCAAGGTCTCGGAGCCCGCCGCGGGGCGGCCGCTCATCGAGCAACCGAAGAAGCTCACGGCGCGCGCGCGGCGCGTCACGGAGGAGAAGAAAAAGTCCCAGGGCCTGATGCGGGCCATCGACATCGGCGTCTTCGAGAAGAAGCAGGTGCTCCAGAACGACCGGGCCGCGCAGTTCCTGGAGCAGTGCGTCGACCGCGCGGCGAACGCCGTGCAGCGCGCGCGCGACGCCGCGTGGACCCTGGTCCGCCGCGACGACGAGGCGCGCGCGAAGCGCGAGGAGGAGCTGGCCATCGCCCGCGGCGGCGGCATCGGCGCGTCCGGCGGCGCCGCGCACCGCAAGGACCAGTCCATCTCCGAGGAGAAGCGCGAGAAGGAGGAACGGGCGAAGTTGCGGGACCAGGAGCGCGACGAGAAGGTCCTGGTGGGCTCCCTGGTCATGCTCGCGGACGTCGTGGTGACGGAGTCGCTGGCCATCGCCTGCGCGTCCATGGGCACGACGTTCCGCGAGCGCCTCGAGCGGTCGCGCGAGACGAACCAGGGCATGTTCGAGGTCCAGCTCAGCTTCGCGCCGCCGGCTTTGGGCGTCGAGGAGGCGTCCGTCGCACCGCGGGGCCTGAGCGACCCCAAGTTCAAGGGCGGGCTCCACGAGAAGCACGCGCAGTCCGAGCCCGGCGAGAAGGAGGCGAGCCCCGACTGGACGGACGAGGACTGGACGGCGAACGCGGGCGGCATCAGCGCGGACATGGTCGCCAAGGCCGTCGAGACCATGGACCCGGCCTGCGCGTCCGCGGACGCGTCCGCGGACGCGCGCGAGGACGCGCGGTTGGCCGAGGAGCGCCGCGACACGGGCGGCACCGTGTTCACGCCGAACTGCACGGAGGTCCGCGAGACGGCGTCCTTCGTCGTCCACGGCGCCGTCGAGGTCGTCGACAACATCGTCTCCATCAAGTCCATGTGGCCCTTCTGCGACGATTTGCGGGCGTCCAAGGCCGGCGACGCCGCGGCCATGGCGGCGCGCGCGCGCGGCGACTCCGAGCGGCGGATCCACAAGGCGTGGCTCGAGGCCGCCGAGGCCGTGGAGCGCGAGAACGCGGAGCGCATCAAGCGGCGCGACGCGCGGCGGCGGGCGCGCGAGCGGCTCCAGAAGGAGGGCGTCGCCGCGCCCGCGCTCGACGACGGCGCGTCCGGCGGCGGCGACAGCCGCGGCTCCGGCGGCGGCGGCCTCGAGGGCGCGGAGTCGCGGCCGGAGACGGCGGCGAGCCGCGGCGACGACGGCGCGACGCCGCCGACCGTCTCCTTCGCCGAGTCGCCCGCGAGGGGGCCGGGCGCGCCCGACGAGGAAAGCTTCCTCACGCAGACGGACGCCGGCGAGCTCGTCGCGGGCCGGGAGCCGCCGCGCGGCGCGGGGACGCCCCCGACGCCCGGCACGCCGCCGGGGTCCGCGGGCGTCGCCGACACGACGCTCCACGGCGGCGACGGCGACGGTGATATTTATATGCAGTCGCTCGAGGACTCGTTCCGCCCGAACTCGCGCCAGTCCAACGGCGCCGTCGCGCGCATCATGCGGACCAAAAAAGCCTTCCAGCGCGACCTCAAGGCCATCGACCGCGAGATCCGCGAGTCGTTCCACGAGGGGACGACGTACGCGCGGTCGCTCGACGCGCTGCGGTCCGTCTTCGACTCGGTCGAGGTCCGGAGCCCCGCGCCCGCGGAGGACTCGGAGGAATTCGGCGTCCTGCTCAAGCGCCACGCGCGCAAGCCCCACTCCTGGCGCTATCTGGCCGTGACGGCCGCGACGGACGCGCGGGCCGTCGCGAGAGACGCGGCCCGGCTCTGCCGCTGGCGCCTCGAGCTGTCGCGCGCGCAGCCCCGGGGCGCGTGCGGCTCCATCGAGTGCGTCACGCGCAAGCTGCGCCAGCGCCTCGCCCAGATGGCGCGCGCGCGACGCGCGGCGATCCGCTCCGCCGCGCGGCGGTGCGCGCGGTTCCACGCGCTCGTGGCCATCTCCGCGTTCCGGACCGCGCGGGGCCTCCTCGACGAGCAGCCCCAGGTCCTGCGGGCCTACGCCAAGCACGCGGCCACGGTGGTCAGCACGCGCGCCTTTGGGTGGAGCGCGCTCCACGCCATCGCCAAGGCCGCGAAGCGCGTCGCGGAGCTGACGGCGTCGGAGGCCATCGCGAGCGACGCGTTCGACCCGACGGTCGCGGGCGAGGACATGATGGGCCTCGAGGAGAAGGAGGCGGAGCAGAAGCAGCTGGCCCTGTTGTTGGGCGACGACGCGCAGAAGCTCTCCTTCGAGACGAAGCTGTACTTGACGGAGTTGCGGGACGAGGAGAAATCCCAAAAACGCGCGGAGCTCGCGCACATCTCCTGGCGCACGGGGCGGCTCCGCAGCGCCCACCAGGAGGTCGACTCCGAGGTCCACAAGTGCGGCAACCAGGCCGCGTCCCTCGCGCGCGCGCTGTCCGGGCCGCGCTTCGCGGCTGCCGAGGACGACCGCTACGGCGAGCCCGTGCGCGTGCTCGACGACATGGACGGCCAGCGGCGCAAGCTCCAGAACGTCGAGGAGTGGCGGCAGAAGCTCGTGGATCTGCGGGCCCTGCTCGACTTCATCGCCCAGGAGTGCGAGCTCACGACGGGCCAGAAGCTGCTCATCCTGTCGAGCGGCGAGAACCTGGAGGAGGCGATCCACGAATTGCAGAACTCGTCGAACGAGCAGATGAAGAAGATGCTGCCCCGGGGCGTGAGCGAGGGCCTGCTCAAGGGCAGCGACGATTCGTCCAACGGGTCGCGCGAGGCGGCGCCGGACGCCATCAAGTCGAAGAACGAGCACGCGCGGCGCGTCGACTTGGTGCTGACGGCGGACGCGCGCGCCGCGCGCGTCTTCTTCGGCCGGTCCCAGCTCCTGTGGACCATGATCACGCGCTGGCAGGACATCCACGACTCCTGGGTGTCCCAGCCCCTGTCGAGCTTCGACGCCGAGGAGCTCGACGCGGAGAGCCGCTTGTTCGCGCGCGAGTCCACCGCCCTCGAGATGCGGCTCCACGCGGAGCCGAGCGACGACGCGGACTACAAGGGCGTCATCCACCACGCCGCCGGCGACGAGGACGAGGAGCGCACGCCCGGGGCGGCGATCCTGCCGCGGGCCGGCGGCGCCGCGCGGCGCCTGGTCGCGGAGACGCACGCGTTCCGCGCGCTCGCGCCGATCTGTGCCGAAACCAACCACTGGTTTGGGTGGTCTGACCAAACTTGAGAATTCTCTAGCTCGGTCAAATCGAAGTCGATTCGGCTGATTTTTGGACGGATCGATCGCTCTCGTCGAGTTCTCGAAGCACAGTGAAAGAGTCTGGTCCAAATCGTTCGAATACGCTCACATTGAAGTCGGGTTGAAGATTTGGTTTCGGCACAGGCGCCGATCGTGCTCGAGCTCAAGAACCCGAATTTACGGAAGCGCCACTGGGCGCGCATCGCCATGGAGGTCGTGCCGGGCACGGCGGCGCCCCTGGTCTTCGACCCGGACAAGACGTCGCTCGGCGACCTCTTCGACTGCGGCATCTCGAAGCACCGCGACATCATCACGAAAGTCGCGACGGACGCGACGGCCGAGGCGCAGATCGAGCTGTCCATCCACGCGCTCGACGCGGCCTGGGAGGCCACGGTGTTGCCGGTGTTAAAGATCGACCTCAACGAGCACAACTCGTCGTCGAGCGACGACGCGTCGACGTCGAGCGACGAGCCGCCGCCGGCCGGGACCAACGGAGAGCCCGCGGCGCCGGACACGATCTACGAGCTCGGCCCGCTCGACGACGTCGCGAACCTGGCCAACGACCACCGCGCGGCCTTCCGGGCCATCGCCATGGGCGAGCACGGCATGGCGCTGAAGCCGCTCATCACCGTCTGGCGCCAGCGCCTCGACCGGCTCACGGACGCGCTCCGCGCGGCGGACGACCTCGACCGGAAGCAGCGCGCGCTCAAGCCCATGCTCGCCGGCGAGCGCGAGGGCGCCCTCGCCCACGCCTGGGCGCGCTTCAACAACGTCCACAACCGCTGGCACGAATTACTGAAAGAGATCCACGGCGACCCGCGGCCCATGCGTTTGATCTCGCCGCCCGCCGAGGCGCCGGAGGACCCGAAGCAAAAGGAGAAGCGCCGGTCCCACAAGGCGCCGAAGCACCGCGCGCGGGGCGGCCGGCCCCCGGAGCTCGACGCGCACCGCGGGAGCAAAGGGGGCGACGCGCCGGGAGAGACGCCCGAGGACGCGCGACGGCGCCGCGACTCCGCGGCGCTCGCGGGCTTTTTGAACATGCCCGAGCCGCCGAGCGACCTCAAGCTCAAGCAGTGGAAGCTCGACGTGGAAGTGTTGGACGAAATCAAGGCCGAGCTCAAGGACCACCTCGAGATGAAAAGGGTGGCGTTCCCGCGGTTCTACTACCTCTCGGACCTCGACCTCATCTCCGCGCTGGGCAACCTGCGGAACCAGGGGTCCCAGACCTTGAGCCACGTCGTCCTCGCATTACCGGCCCTCTTCGACGCCGTCGTCACGCTGGACCGGTCCCTGGAGCCCGAGTCCGACGGCGACGCCAACTCCGCGAACTCGTCGGAAAAGGGCGGCCGGCCGGGCTCGTCGGAAAGCTCTTCCGCGCCCAAGGGCGCCATGTCCATGTTGTTGGGCAATTTGAAGGAGGCGCGGCCGAGCCTGAGCGACGCGGAGAAGCGGCGGAAGCGGAGCGAGCGCAAGGCTTCCAAAAGACGGAGCGGCCGCAAGTCCGCGACGGGCCGGCGGCGCCAAAAACCCCAAAAAATCGGCGCGCTCGTCGACGCCCACGGCGAGCGCCTGATCCTGCCGAACCCCGTCGAGGTCTACGGCGGCGTCGAGGTCTGGCTGCGCGAGCTCGAGCGCGAGATGCGCGAGGCGCTCCGCGCGTCCTTCGCCGCCGTCGTCCGGCGCCAGCGGCAAGAAAAAAAGCGGTCGAAGCGGCGGACGTCGCGGAGCCCGGAGGCCGTCGCGCCCTGCCAGATCACGTTATTGTGCGAGCGCATGCGCTGGACGGAAGACGTCGGCGATGCTTTATCGACGAGCTTCCGGCGGGGGTCCTGCGAGCCCTGCGACGAGTGCTTCGCCAAGTACCGCGACGAGGCCGAGCGGAAGGCGCGCGCGATCCGCGAGGGCGCCGTGCGCCTCGCGCCCGGCGAGGAGCCGCCGGAGTTTCGCGACGACGAGCGCGCGCGGCGCTCCGGCGACGAGGCGCTCGTGCTCCTCGCGCTCCAGCATCGCGACGTCGCCGACGACGTCGCGAGGGCCGCGCCGCACATGAGGGGCCTCGACGACTACGCCTGGCAGTCCAAGCTCCGCTTCTACCCCGCGGGCACGCTGGAGGCCCGGAGCCGCATGTCGAAGATCGGCGGCCACATCGGCCGGCGCACGTCGGAGATGATCGTGCCCACGGCCGCGTCCGGCTCCGCGACGAAGAGCGGCTCGGACCTGTGTGGAATTCAAATCTTCAACCCGACTTCAATGTGCGCGCAATCGAACGATTTGGACCAGATTCTTTCGCTGTGCTTCGAGAACTCGACAAGAGCAATCGATTCGTCTAAAAATCAGCCGAATCGACTTCGATTTGACCGAGCTAGAGAATTCTCAAGTTTGGCCAGGACCACCCAAACCAGTGGTTGAATTCCACACAGGCTCGGACCTCGGCGTCGTCGCGCGGCAGATGAACGCGGTGCTGCCCGTGGGCGTCGAGTACGTCGGGTCGGCGCCGCGCACGGTCGTCACGCCGCTGGGCGCGCGCTGCGTCCTGGGCCTCACGACGGCGATCCAGGCCTTGCGGGGCGTCGCGGTCGTCGGGCCCCACGGCGTCGGCAAGGCGGAGATCTGCAAGGACCTGGCGAACACGCTCATGAGCCGCTGCGTGTCGCGGGCGCCCTCGGACTTTGGCACGCAGCACGAGAACGCGGTCAAGGCCATCAACCACATGTTCGCGGGGACGGCCGCGACGGGCGCGTGGCTCGTGCTCGGCCTCGGCGGTCTGGGCCACAAGGAGGGGGGCCACCGCTACGTGTCGCGCATCCTGGGCGCCGTCGCGGCGCACCTCCAGCTGCTCATGGGCGCCGTGGCCATGCGCGCGAACACGGTCAAGTTCGCGGGCAAGGACGTGCCGCTCAAGTCGTTCGTGAGGTCCGGGTCCGAGAAGGGCGAGACGGACGAGGACTACGTGTCCTACAGCGGCATGCCGCTCATCGCCGTGACCGTGTCGCCGCCGCGGGGCGTGTCGCCCCTGAACCACTCCATCGCCATGATCCTACGGCCCGTGGTCCTCGCCGCGCCGGACGTCGCGTCCGTCGTCGCGGGCACGCTCGTCTCGCGCGGCTTCCGCATGGCCGCGGCCAAGGCCTACGCGGCGTCGCTGGCGACGCTCCTACGCTTGGCCCAGGACACGGAGCTCGGCGAGCGGAGCGACGGCGCCAAGGGCGCGCAGCTCCAGGCGCGCTGGGGCCTCCGGACGGCCATGTCCGTCGTCAAGGAGGCGGACGCGATCCTGCGGACGGGTGACCTCGTGTCCATGCGGCGGCCCTTCCAGTCCAACCAGGAGACGGAGGCCGAGGACGAGCGCCAGGAGCGCGCGGCGCTGGCCATGGCCGCGAAGCGCATGCTGCTGCGGTCCCTGCGGAACTCGGGCGACGACGAGGCGACGATGACGGAGCTGATCCGGACGATGCTCCCGCGCGACGACGAGGCCATCGGCGACGGCGAGCAGATCGCGCTCCAGGACCGCGAGGACGCCGCGGCCCGAGCCGTCGAGGACCGGTTCCACGAGCTCGCGGGCGGGCCGCCGTCGCCGCCGCAGCTCGCGGCCGCGCTCGCCGTCGGCGACGCCGCGGCCGTCGCGACGGGCGTCGCCGTCGTCGGCCCCGCGGGCTGCGGCAAGTCGACGGCGCTCCGCGCGGCGGCGCTGCGGCGGGACGTGCCGACGCGCGTGCTCTACGTGGCGCCGGGCGCGCTCAACCTCGAGGACTGCTTCGGCGGGTCCAGCGGGAGCAGCGGCTGCCTCGTGTCGCGGTTCTCCCAGTTAGCGGACGCGCGCGCGGCCGCGGGCGGCGGCGACGCCTGGGTCGTTCTAGACGGCAACGTCGAACGCCACTGGACGGAGGACTTGACGGTGCAGCTCGACCGCATCGCGGACCGCGCGGACCACGGCGCGTCGCCGCGCCGCGCCGCGTGGGAATCAAATCTTCAACCCGACTTCAATTTTAGCGAAATTGAACATCGGACCAGACGTTTCAACCGTGCTTCGAGAACTCGACGAGAGCGATCGATTCGTCCAAAAATCAGCCAAAAGGACGTCGATTTGGCCGAGCTAGAGAGCTCTGAAATTTGGTTGGGATAACCAGCTCACTGGTTGATTTCCACGCAGGTGCCGCGTCTTGCTCGAGACGGACGCGCTCGCGGACTCGTCGCCGTCCATGGTGAGCCGCGTCGGCGTCGTCCACCTGTGCGGTTTTTCATTACCCTACGAAGGGTGCGACAAGCCCTGCGCGAAGCGCGCGGCCGCGTGGGTCGCGCGGAATTTAAGGCCCAAGTTGTCCGGCACGGCGACGTTGGTCGCCGTCGCGGACGCGCTCGACGACCTGCTGGAGGACTGTCCATTGGACGACGCCATCGGCCTCGCGCGGCGCCTCGACGAGCGGCGCTATTTCGGCTTCGAGTACGCGCTGGAGGCGAAGTTCGACGACGACGCGCCGGAGCTGCCGCAGCACTCGTCCGCGCGCTGGGGCGCGGCGGACGACGACGCGCGGCGTCTCCACGCGTGCCTCGTGCTCGTGGCGGCGTTACTGCTGCCGTCGGCGGGGTCGGATCTGGAGATCATCGGCGACGACGCGGCCGTGGCCGCGGGCGCGGCGAAGATCGCGAAGTGCGCGTTGGCCTGGGGTCTGGCCTGGGGCGTGCTCGGCACGACGCTCGCGCTCGGCGAGTCCGAGCCGGGTCTGGCGCGCCACCTCGCGGGCGACGCGGCGCGCTGGCTGCGCAAGGCCTTCGGGGGGGACGCGTTGGAGAAGGACGCGCCCCTGTGGGGCGCGTGCGCGGGGCGCGCGCCGCGGCCGGACCTCTTCGCGTTCGCCAAGTGGGAAACGTTGGCGGCGCTGCGCATGGAGGCCTTCGAGGTGGCGAGCCCCGCGGCGCCGCGGTCGCCCAAGGATCTCGAGGCGCTCCACGTGCCCACGCCGCGCGACGAGCGCGTGCTCTTCGTCCTCCGGAGCCTGCTCCGGGGCGGCGTCGACGCGGAGCCCGCGAGCTGGGCGCCCGACGACGACGACCCCGACGGGTCCCAGCGGGCGCGCGGCGTCGCGTTGATCGAGGCCTACGAGCGCGGCGCGGGCGCGTCGGCCGTCGCGGCCGCGTTCGCCGCGCGCGAGTTGGCGACGGCGGGCGGCGCGGGCCACGTCGGCGCGAGGGTCGCGTCGACGTCCACGGGCACGCTGCTCCGCAACGTGCTCGCGAAGCGCCTCGTCGGCCACCGGCGGCGGCACGCCGAGGCCGCGGCGAGCGACGACCTGGAGCGGTCGCTCCTCGTGGCCCCCGAGAAGGCGGGCGCGTCCGCGGGGCGGCGCCTGCTCGTCGTCGTCGACGACGTCTCCGTGCCGCTGAGCACGCGGGACTGCCCAGACTACCTGCGGGCGCGCCACGGCACGGTCGACGAGTCCGTGCGGTCCCTGCTGGACCACGGCCACTGGCAGGGCAGGAAAAGAGAGCGAAATTCCCAACTTCAAAGGCTCCGATCTCGGCCGTTTTCCACTCGTTTCGGCTGATTTTTGGACGAGCGATCATCTCTCGGAACGGTCTCGAAGCATGGACGCTTTTTCCGGAACGCGCGCGCGCGGAACACTCATGTTGAAGAGAACTTGAATCACCCTTTTCCTGCCCAGGCCACTGGCACGACTCCGCGCTCGAGGAGCCCGCCGTCGCGGACATCGAGTCCAACGGCCTCGTGTCGCCGAACCGGCGGCGGCTCCACGGCGTTCTCGTCTTGGCCGTGGCGTCGCAGCACGGCCACCAGGCGGTGGACGCGCGGGGCCGGCGCCACCTGCCGCCGGTCGCCGTCGCGCCGCCGAACCGCGCGGAGCTCGGCGCCGTCTTCTGCGGCGTCGTCAAGGCGTCGCTCGTGGACCGCACGCGGCGGGGTCTGGACAAGGACCTGGAGGCCGCCGCGGGGCAGGCGCTGCGGGTCTACGTGCGCATGGCGCGCTTCTCGCGGGACCGCCGCGCGGCGCACCCGCCCGCGCCGCTCTGCGTCTGGGTCCGCGTGGCCAAGGGTTTGCGGTTATTGCCGTCGTGCCACACGACGCTGAGCCTGCGGCGGGGCATCGCCCACGAGCTCTGCCGCGAGCTCCGGGACGGCCTCGTCGCGGCCGCGCGGCCCGCGTTCGACGCCGCCGTGGAGCTCGAGGGCCTCGTGCCGACGGACGATCTGCTCGTCGACGACGCGGACCCGGCGGTCTACGGCGCGCCGAACGCGCCCGTGAAGCACTACAGCCTCGTCGAGCGCGACCGCAAGTTCACCCGGGCCATGCGCGAGGACGCGGGCCACGTGAGCGGCCACGGCGCGAACGACCGCTACAACGACGACCTCGACGGCGAGGCCGACGTCTCCGACGACGAGGAGCCCACGCTCTGCAACCGCTGCGCCTTCGCGCAGCGGCTCTTCGACGCCGCCGCCGACGACGCGGGGCGGCCGCCGTCCGCGCTCGCGGTCCGCGACGCCGCGACGGGCAGGGCAGCAAAAGAGAGCGAAATTCCCAACTTCAAAGGCTCCGATCTCGGCCGTTTTCCACTCGTTTTGGCTGATTTTTGGACGAGCGATCATCTCTCGGAACGGCCTCCAAGCGTGGATACTTTTTCGAAACGCGCGCGCGCGGAACACTCACGTTGAAGCGACGTTGAATCACGCTTTTGCTGCCCAGGCGACGGGCCACGCGCGGAACGTCGCGCGCGCCGCGCGCGCGCTCAGCGCGGGCACGGTCCTCGTGCAGGTCGGCGAGCGGGGCGTCGGGCGGCGGTCCGTCGTCGACGTCGCGGCGCACCTCTGCCGCTACGAGAACGTGTTCCACTCGCCGCCGCCGCCCGTCTTCAGTTCGGCGGACGCGGCGACGTACCAAGTCGACGGCCGCGGGTGCGGCGCGGTCGTCGCCGCGAGCCGCGAGAAGAACGGCGTGCGCGCCGGCCGCGACCCGGACACGACGTGGAACGAGGTCATCCGGCGGGCCTTGTTCGCCGCGGGCGGGGGGGAACCGACCATCGTCGTCATCGCGGACAGTCAGTGGGCGCACTCGGGCGTGACCGCGCGGCGCCTCGACGACCTCTTCTCCGCGGTGCACACGGGCACGGTGGCGGATTCGCGGGTCTTCCGGCCCGACGACGAGGCGCGGGTCGTGTCGGACTACCTCGACGCCCAGATCGGCGCGCAGGGCGGCAACGCGCTCGCGGCCGCGGGCGCGCGGGGCGGCGCGCAGGCCGGCGGGAACCACGTCGAGGTCGCGCTCGCGGAGTACGCCGCGCGCGTGCGCACGCACCTACGGGTCGTCGTCTGCTGCTGCGAGAGCGACCTGGCGCCCATCGCGGGCGACTCCAACTGCGCGCACCCGGCCGCGCGGCGCGCGCTCGCGGCGGTGCTGCCCTACGCGGCCGTGGACCGCTTCGACGACCCGGACGAGGCGGGCTGCGAGGCGGCCGCGCGGCGCTGGCTCGGCGTGGAACGACGGAAGGACTACGACGAGCGGCTCAAGGGGCGGACGCCCCTCGTCGCGTTCGTCGCGCGGCTCAGCGACGACGACCGGAGCGGCCGCGGCGCGAAGCAGGCGAACTTGTACGAACGGGCCGCGAACGCGGGCGCGC